TGGAAGGACCTGAAGACAACTCTGTCAGCACCAGTAGGTTCTTACAGATTTGTGTGAATCACTGATCATCTCCTGGCCTGCTCCTCTTGCAAATTCAGTAGCTTTAGTTTCACACTCAAAATATTCTGTATCTCATCTTCATTTATCCTTAGGCTCCAGTTTCTTGTTATACCCAGAGCCTTTCCTGCAGGCCAATGTCTCTGCTTTCCCTTGCCACACTCAAGCCTGCTGGAACCACAGTCACCTTTGGATGCCATTCTGGTCCTCCACACTCTCAGAGGTACCTGCCTCATGTTGTTTTCTCAGTGCAAACATGAGGTGACATCCCCAGTGCAGTATTGGCCAGCAGGCACTTTGTAACATTTAAAGATTCTTTTTTTTTTTTTTTTTTTTTTTTTTTTTAATGTCTGCTTCCACAATCTGTGATGGAGAGGGCAAGCCAGACACCTTTCTGTATCTTCACTAAAGGTGTAAAAACAATTTGTTCCCATGAAGGGAAGCAGCTTTTCAGGTAGTGTCTGGCCGGTCACGTTTTGTGGGATCTTTAGACCAATCTCCAGTTGCAGGCCAGGAAACCTGGAAGGAGGAGAGGAGCTACTGCATCTGTTCCCTGATCTTCTCCTACTACTGTGTCTGTTCTTGTTTAACAGTGTTTGGGACCATCAGGAGAGCCCTGTCTATGTCCACAATACAGTCCTGCTATGTTCTCAGATGTTAGAGATGTCACTGAGGAAGCAGCTGAGTGACCTGAGACACTGAGTGATCCCCACCCTCCCAGCAGCAGGGACAGGTCTCTCAGTGACCTGACACAGAGGAAGAGCCTGGGGGTGCTGGTCAGGCAGTGCTGGTGGGGGCACAGCTGGCAGCTTCTCACTCCCCCTCACCAGCACATCCAGACCTCTTACTGCCTGGGGGGACCCAGGGGCTGGGTCCCTAATTCACAGAATCCTCTCCCTCTGTGACTGAAAGCTCCCCACTGCTGGGTTGGACTCACAGTGCCAGCTCGAGAGAGCCCAGCTCTGCAGGTACCCATCGAGAGCCCAGCTCTCTCGATGGGTGAGGTGGGTCTCATCCCATCCATAAAGCTGGGTATCAGTGTGGAGCACTGCACAGTTCCTCATCCTCTCAGAGGGATGGCAGAAGGATGGCATGTAGCATCCTCTGGGATAGACTAGGAGGGGATTCTTTAACACTGCTAATTCTTTGGCCACAGGAGGTCTCCCAATAAACAATTCTGGGAACTCTTTCCATAAGAAATAAATACTGCCCAGATGGACAAACTGTGCCGGCTGTCCACACATTGCTTTGGCACGCCGATGCCCTTGGTTAAGCCTTTTTTCTTTAATCATTTATCTACATGAGGACTTTGTTAGGCTCCCTGGGAAGAGCTTTTCTTCCCAAGCAGAGCCCTTTCTGAGGTGAAACAGTGCAAAGCACAGCAGTAATACTCAGCTGTTTGCACTTCTGGTAAGTGCTGGATAATCTTGTCTGGGCTCAACTTGCAGACACTGCAGAGCCGGATGTCTTTCCCTTAATGCAATAAAATATGTATAAGTAGAAAAACCATTGTCAGTGGACTGATCTTCATAGTTTCTGGAGTCGAAAGTTAATCCTGGGAACACGAAGCTGCTTCCACATGTGAAATGGCAATGAAGCAGGAGTGCAAGTGGGAGAGCAGATGGATCTGGTTCATGATGTGCCTTCAGGAAGGGTTCAGGGACTCTCAACACATGGAGCCAAGAGGGTACCTGGTGACTGTAAATAAAGGGGTGGAAATGGATGTTTTGCTCTGTGTGTGCAGGGAGATCCAGCCACAGATAAAGTGAAATCTGTCCTCCCCAGACCTCAGCCCAGTGGGGATCACTTTACGAGCAAAACTCTGTAAGAATCCTACTGAGGGAAAATGATGGAAACTGGTGTTTTGTGATTGATGGAGCCAAGATTTCCCAGAGGGAACACAATGTGCTTTATGCCACTCAGGTTAGGCTGCACTCCATCCTCCCAGAAGACATGGACAAGGCAAGGCTAGGTAAGGAACCCAGATTTTAAAACACCTACAAAATCAGCAGCTCCTTTGGAAATAAAATGGGAATTTCCCATCCCTTTTTACCCATGATTCCCAGGGCAGGGGTGAGTCAGAGCAATCTGGAACCCCTTTGCTCTCCTACTGCCAGGGAAACATGAGAGTTCATTGGTCATTCCTGCCATGTGTAGCAGCTTTAGTATTGGGCTGGGAATGCAACTCTGGAGCTTATGGGTAGAGGGGGAGGATGGAGAATCCTCGTGGCAGGGAAGGGCTGGGTACCATGAGTCCCAGCTGTGTCTGTGCTTAGCCTTCATCAACTCAAGACACTGATGGATGAGACCAGGTGGAGCTTGCTGAAAGGACCAGCAGTGTCATCAGGGATAAAATAATCATGAATTCCTGTTCTGAGAGTTCAGGGGAGACCCCTGCTTCCTCCAGAGAAGCCAGGGTGCATGCAGCTCCAGGGGTACACAGGGCAACCCATCAGGGTGCAGGAGGAAAGTATATTTGGGCAAATATACTTTGGTGTTATATATTTAGTGCAAATATGTACAAATTAATGAACAAAATAAAATAGTATTTTGAATGAGTGTTATTAAATCTTTATCTTATCCTTTTACAATGTCTATTCATGTGTATGTTTTACAATCTACATGTATATAACTTATGAATAAAGGGAGATATCCCTGCCAGAGGGCAGGAAGTGCCTGCAGTCAGGGTAGAGGCACGGGTGGTTTCCCAAGCTTTCATCCACCAGGATCTTGCAGGCCCCAGGGTGGTGACCATGGCTTTCGGGGGTCCTGTCTAGCTCTCCCAGGAGATCAGGTCCCACCTTGCTGCCAGCCCTGTTTATCCTTAATGGATCAGTGCTGGAGGATCCAACTCAGCCCCACTGTGGTTGGGGCACCCATGGCCCCATCCATCTCCCCACCCACCACTTGCTCCCAGATGAAGAAATAGTGCCCCTACCCCATGACTGAGTGTGATGCTAGGGAGTGCTGAGGTCCCTTCCCTAAATTCCTCCCATGTCAAGCTATGACAGGTCTCAACAAAAGTGCTGTGTCCAGTAAATGGTTTTTATCTCAACTCACATTTTTGTGAGTTCTCCAGTTCTCAACTCCATTTCCATAGCAGGAAGAAGGTCGTAGAAGGGGGGAGGGGGAGGGGGGGGCAGGGGAGGAGCAGGATCTGGCTTGGGAGAGTTTTGGGCAGGGGGCACTAAATTGAGGAGTGCCATTCCTAAACCATGACAGCAGCTTTTTCTTGGGGAAGTAAAATCCCAGACAGGGATTTTTTTTTTCACAATCCCTTTCACAGGAGCAAAGGGCCAAGGAAATTAAGGAATAAAGAAAATTTAAGAGGTAACAATTCTGCTGGGAGCAGATCACATGGCTGGCCCCATGGCATGCTGTCACCCACCTCTACCTGGCACCTTCCTGCTCAGCCATGGTGGCAGGGGGAACCATGAGCAGGTGGCAATTCCTTCCAGAGCCAGGCCTGATATCCCTGTCACACCACACCATGGCAACTTGCTCTCAGCATTCCTTGGACAGGCTTGGAGTGGGCTGACAGCCTGCCAGGGCACCACTGAGGCTCTAATGGGGCTCCCACTGTGAGCGCGTTGGCTGGGGCTGAGCCCAGCCAGGCAGCAGGGCACAGCCACGGCAGTCCCTACACTGAGCCCAGCCAGGCAGCAGGGCACAGCCACGGCAATCCCTACACTGAGCCCAGCCAGGCAGCAGGGCACAGCCACGGCAATCCCTACACCGAGAATCAGGCAGCACATGCTGGCCAGCAAGATCCCAGATAGCAGGTCCCATTCAGCATCATGTCATTTGTGTTTGTGCCAAGGCCTCAGGTCTGTGCCCAGAGCATGGGGCCAGAGACTGGATGCCAGGATTTTGCAGAGCATCCCCTGACTGCATGGGGGAAAACCTTGGGTGGCCTGGGAGCTCTGCAGCAAACAGGGACAACCTGGCATCCCTGTTGGACATGGCTGTTGGTGTGACTGCGGTGTCCATGTGGAATCTCTGGGCCTTGTGGCTGTGGAGGCATATCACCACCAAGCACCCACTGTCCTGCAACCAGATGGGACATTTGTACTCGAAGGGGACATAGGGGTTGAAAAGCAAATCCTAGAGATATGAGACTAATCCAGGATATGGAAAGAGGTTTTGCAAGGGAGTGACCCAGGAATGTGGCTCTGACTGGGAAGGGAGGGGGTGCTTTGGCAGTGCACTCCTCTATCCAAAGTCAACGGCAGATAAGGTCTGACAAACCCAGCACTCAAAGCCATGTGCCACAGCTGCAGAGCAAGCAGGGATGAGATACCTCCAGCCATCAGCCTAAACATTACCCCAGCAGCCATCAGCCACATGACTGACAGATGACATTTCCCCAGCTCATCACTCCCAGTGTATGCCATTCATGTGGGACTGGGGGAATAACCAGATCCCAACATAGCATTACAGACTGCAGTGGGGTGGAAGGGACCTTTCAAGGTCATATAGTCCAACACCCCTATCATGGCAGAGACACCTGCCACTTGCTCAGAGCCCTGTCCAACCTGGCTTTGAACGCTTCCAGGGATGGGACAGCCACAGCTTCTTTGGGCAACCTCTGCCAGGGCCTTTCCCCTCTCATAGGGAAAACCTTCTTCCCAATATCCCATGTAACCCTGCCCTCTGGCAGTGGGAAGCCATTCCCCCTTGTTCTGTCACTGCAGGCCCCTGTCCAAGGTCCTTGTCTAGCTCTCTGGAGCCACCCTGGGCCCTGGGCCGGGCTCTGCGGCGCAGCACTCGGGGAGCCGCCGGCTCGCTGATGCCAGAGCGCTCCCGCCGGGGGCTGCGGGGGCCGGGCCTTGGCGGCGGGGGTGGAGCCCAAACGCGCTGGAGCCCCGCCCTCCGCCTGGCCCCGCCCCGCCCCGCCGCCCGCAGCCGCCGCGGCCCCGCGCCCGCCCGTGTCCGTGTCCGTGTCCGTGTCCGTGGACGTGGACGTGGACGTGGACGATGGTGGCGGCCCGGGGCGCTGCCGCCCGCCGCGGAGCGCTGCTGCTGCTGCTCACCGCCCTCGGATCCTTCCGTCTGCGCCTCGCCCGTGCCGGTGAGTGCCTCCTTGTTCCCCCCACTCCCGTCTCCGTGTCCTCTCCCTTCCCCCGCGGATGCTCATGTCCTCTCCTACGACGAACCCTGGTGCAGTTGCTCCCCTTCTTCTCCCTCATTATCCCCATCCCCACCAGGGATCAGCATCCGTGGGTGTTCGTGTTCTTGGGTGGAGCAAGATAGGAGGTGCCCCCGTCACAAAGCCCCACGGGGGTTTCTCCCACCCCGCAGCGCTCCCCGGGGACGGGCAGCGCCTCCCCGTCACTCTCCTGCCCGCTGCTGCAGGCAGGGGCCTGGCAGCGGGTGGCAGCGCCGCAGGGCCGGTCCCCAGCAGCTGTTTGAGGGGGCTGGAGGGACCCACAGATGTGGATCCTGGAGTGGGGAAGGAGCACGTAGTCATGGGAGCGGCCCTCATGAAGCACCTTTAGTGGTAGGAAAAAATTAAAACAACATCAAAAACCACAAAGAAAAAAATAAGGGCGCTGCAGTGACCGAGCCATCCCGGGGAGCCTCCGGGGGCTGCGCTGGAGGGAGCCCTCTTTGCCCAGCAGTCTCATTGCCCCGGGAGCGGCCGCAGCACCGCCCCGGTACACCAGTGACGGTGACATTTCTGCTCTCCGCCGTGGCAGAAGGAATGGGTGGCCTTCGCGCCTTCCCGTGCAGCACCGCCCTAAGCTGCCCAGCTGTCTGCCTAAGGGTTGTTTCGGGGCGTTCAGGTTTGATTTGTTTGAGTTTCAGGGTCTGGGTTAGGACATTTCCCCTCCTGGGGCGTCTGGCACTGGACATGCTCCGTGTGCTCTTGCGCTGTGCCCACTGCTGGGGTGCGCAGAGCTGTGATGGGCACAAACAGCGGCCCCAAAACCCCGGCCAGCCCCAGGCCCCGTTGCTGCCTGCGGGGAAGGTTGTGGCTGCCCGCCCCGGGGAGGTGCCGTGTTCCTGCCTAGGTACGGCCTGTCTCGGGCAGGTGCTTTCCGCCTGGCTGGCGCAGGAGCCGGGAAGGGCCTCCTGGCTCCCAGCATTGTTTGCGAATCCGATATTGTTTCCCTTCTCGGGCTCCCGGCAGGGCAGACGCCGGGCCGGCGGACGCCGGGCAGGCAGCCTGCTGTCACCGGGGCCCGGGTGGCCTCTCCGTGCTTCTGAGGGACGGCGGGAAGCTGCAATATCAAAACGTCTGTGTGTTTCCACGTCGGAGGGTTGGAGGCAGAGGTGGGGATGCTCCTGCGCTCCCCCTCTTTCCACGAGCCAAGGCTGGGGTAGCCCAGCCAGAGGTATTCCTAACACAGGCTGAGATGAGAGGAAGGAGATCCAGGCTCAGATGAGCCACCAGTGATCCAGCATAATCTCTGCTCCTCCTGAATTTAGGGGTTAGTGTGGGATCATCTGGCCTGGCAGTGCTGGTTGGGCTGGGTCACTTGAGGGGCTGCTGGGGTGATTGTGCCCAGGTGCTGTCAGGGAGTGGTGACAATTTCCCCTTTCCTTCCCCTCCCTTCCCAGCACTAGGAGGATGCTGGAGATGAGGTGAGCATGAGGGGCCTGGCACCACATCAGCAGCCTGTTCCAGTGCTGAGATATTGCATGCTCTTGGCAGATGTGGGATTGGATTTTCAGCTCAACCTCTTTTCCCTGAGAGAAGCTAGGGATGGTGTCTTTGCGCTGTTCCTGACAGCAGCATCCCATTGCCGGGAGTTTGAGGTTGTATGGCATGTGGCAGTGGGGAGCTCCAGGTAGGTTTCTCCTGGGGACGGCGGAAGAAAATATCCCTGGGGTGCTGGGCAGGCAAAGGAGTCTCTGTCCCAGCCCTACCACCTTTCTCTGAGTGCACTGGGGCACAGGAAGCATTGGCTGTTTCTTCTCACTTTATAATTGCCTTTCCTGGGCAGATGGGGCCAAGCTTGGCTTTCTCTGGGGGTGACTGCAAGGTGGAGGTGGCAAGCCCAGGAGCAGCTTCTGTGCTGTGGTATGCTGGTGAAACTGGCTTCTGGCAAGGAGGGAGCCAGGGAAAAGGTCCTGCACTACCATACCCATGTCCTCCTGCCTCTGCAGCTCCATCAAAGCTTCTTCAGAAAGCTTCAGGGGGTTGGCATCTCCTTCTCCTCCTCCTCCTCCTCCTCACTTTCCTTGGCTGGCACTGCGACCCAGAGCCCCTGCAGCAGATGCCATCTCCCGGGATGCAGCTGCACGTGGCTCAGTAACATCCTCATCTTGCTGTGAGCCTGATCCAAGCTGGACGAAGGGCAGCAGTGCTTTGGAGGTGCTGCAGGTGGTTTAGGTTCGCTTGCTACTCCTCAGCTGGGCTTTTTTCTCCCACGTGTCTCTATGCATCACACCAGGCTTTGGGCAGAGGGCCTGCCTTGCTTCGTTTTCTGGCTTCATTTCCTGGAACATGAGTGACAGCCATATTTCTCCCCGCTTCTTGAGTAACTAGATTGCCAAATTTCATCTATTATTATCCTTGTTATTATTGTAAACAAAAAACCCAGTTTTCCAAATGGGATGACAGGCTAGAACCCCATTTTTTAATAATCCTGAACCCCACTGCCACAGCCATCAGTCCACATCCCAGACATCTGGAGAAGATATTCAGCAAAATCTGAATTTTGTTTCCAGTCCAAGTGACCCATTTGGCCATGTTTGACCTGCTGGCTCTGCACTGCTGCTCCTCCTCATGCCGCTCTGCAGGGACGTGGGTGGGAGCACAGATGCTGGTGTTGATACTGGCTGCCCCTGCTCTGCAGTGGTGCAGGTACTGCTCAAACTTCCAGCAGGGCATGGCTAGGCAGGAGCCATCCCCTGGGAAGTTCCCAGGCTCAGCCTGTGGTGGGACTGTCCATCTCTTAGCTTTTCCTCCTTGCCTGCTTGTCCATCGCTGCACTGGGAACAGGCTTGGGACACAGTGGGTGCAGTAGCCCCAGGGACCCCCATGCTGACCCCTGAAGCTGCTGCAGCTCCAAGCCACTCTTGGGAGCAAGACATTGGGACTGGTGCTGCACCTGTGGTGCTTGCAGGGGCCTGGCTGCCTTGCCAAGTGAAGGGAGTGATCTCAGCCCTGCAGCATTCTCTGATTTGGTCTGTAGGTAGCAGCCCCAGTTTTTTCTTGAGGCACAGGAAAGGTTGTCTGGGTCCCCCTTGGGAGTGGTGGCGGTGGTGGGCAGTGATTCCATCCTTTCAAGCCCCCTGTGGTGGGGTGTCCTCTGCTACACTGGTGCAGACCAGGTGTTTCTCCAGGCAGCAGCTAGGGTGCTGCCCATGTAGTTTTATTCTTGGAAATAATGTCTCCACCTTGTTATCTGGGATTACTTGTGCTCAGCTGGTTCTCCCTGTGGGAAAGGAGCCCTTGTGGGCATGAGGTGTGGAGGAGCTGGGATGTGCAGCACAGGCATCCCACAGGGCTCCAAGGAGCTGGTACCCATGCCAGGGACATGGGCAGGGCTCCGTCTGCAGGCTTGAGGAGGGGAAATGGGTGAAAAGATGTCTGATAATTCCAATTACAGAATCAGCATCAAGGAAGAGTTTATGGAAGAGACAGGGTGAAAATCCCTCATCCCTTTTGCTGTAGCTTTGTGGGGACTCACAAATCCATGTGCACCCCAGCAATACCCTGGGTATGCTGATGCGTGGGGAGCTGGAGCTCAGGGTAGGGAGACTGGGATTCTGGAGCCAGGGGCCTGCTTGCACTGTGCAGGGTCAGGTCCTTTGGATCTGCAATTTCCTGGCAGCTCTGGAGACTGTTCCCCCACCCCAGGGATCCCTCAGTTCTCAGAGAGCCTGAGTCTTCCCACAGCTCAGGGGAAGGTGCATCAATGTTTGCCTGAAATGTCTCTTCTGGGCCATGGGGGTATTAAGGGAGGTAATCGGCTTAGCCCTGCCGGGTGCTTCCGGGGGGGCACAGCATCAGGGGGTGACAGTGTGGTCAGGGCACTGGGGACACGGAGGTTGGTGGTAGATGCTGGAGACTAGAGGAGTGATGGGGGCTATCAGGGGTGACAGTGTGGCAGGGGGAACAGAAGGGGTCACGGGATGGACAGTGTGCTGAGGACAGGAGAGGTGTGGCGATGCTGGAGACAGGAGGGGTGATAGCACAGTGGGGACTCTAGGAATGAGAAAGTTAATGGGGGCTGCTGCAGACAAGAGCGATGGGCATGTTGTGAACAGGATAGGTGGTTTGGTGCCCAGGGACAAGAGGGCTGATGGGATGGCCTCTCCCCATGTGCAAGGTGCTGGGTCCCTGGGCACAGGGTACAGAAGCTGCCATCAGTTCCACCCCTGCATTAAATCCATAAACACTATGCCCTGGTGCTTGGGCCCCACCAAGAGCTCTGGGTCTGGTCCCCAAGGGGGGTAGTGGCTCCCCTGGGCCGGCTGGTCCCAAAACACTTGGGCCTGACCCCAATGCCACTGCCAGCACTGAGGTATCTCCCTCCTGTGCCTAGGCATAACCCAGCACTGCTGCTGCTCCAAATGGCAGCTGCAGGCCTGTAATTAGCCACTTTGTGAGCTAACGAGAATTGCAACAGGAAGAAACTGGCCGTTAAGTGCCTGGAGTGATATTTGAATTGGTGGAAGGAAACGCAGCCAGAGCAGGTCCTGGTCCCTGCCTTATCGTGCCCTGGAGCACTGTGGGCTGCAACCGCCCATGTTAACCCATGCACACTGTGGCACATGCCGGGGTACTACTTCCTGCACAGATAGAGGATGGCAAAGCTTTTGAGAGGTATTCCCTGTTTGAGTGGGAACCCATTGCACTAGGTGGGTGACATGAGAGGTGACATGTCAGTTGAGTGCTGTCAGGGACCCTGACTTATCATGATACAGGGGTTCCCTGGGCTCCTGGCCTCTGTTCCGTTCCTACAGAAAGGAGATTGTGGTGGGGTTGGAGACAGGAGGTGTGGAAGGTGCAGGTCTCCAGTGCACCCATAGCACCCATGGCTGCTCTTGTAGGCAAGGAGCTGCTCTGCCTTGGGGACTTCATCATCTCGCACCTGTCAGAGGGAGTGAGAGGGC